TCTAATGACCCACCTTCACAACTGGTAAACAGACTTTTATGGTTTCAAACACATTCTCCATTCTGACTCTCCTCTCTCTTCATTACCATTCTCTTCAGCCTGCGTAAACATTCTATCTGTCCTGATTTAGAAGTCCTGTTGCTCAGTAATGATGTGCAGCTGGTACCCAACTAACGTGGCCTGGCGCCCAAGCCCATGTGCAAGGCGGCTTCTTTCCTCTGAGGGAGAATCAAGGACAAGGACAGCGTAGTTGTGTGTAAGGCTGAAGTTTCAAGGCTAGTGGGACTTTTGTGTCACTCTGCCCTAATAGCCCCCCCCCCGAAACCTCACCGAGGAAGAGTGAACCCAGACCTTGGTTCTGATCATGTCTGTTGCTGGTATGTGCATGTGTTGGAAGCATCCCGGCAGTCTTTCAGGCCCCTCAGTTTCCCCACCCGTCAAAGCTGTCACGAGTATTAAATGAGATAATTTGTTTAAAAACTTTCACCAGATGGTAAGCACTGGGTAGATGTTCGTGAAATCCGATTCTAAATTGAAGGACATGAACATTCTTCAACTGTGTGCCCCAGAAACACAAGCTGGCGGCTGGCAGCACTTGACATTTGGGTCTTTCACAGCTTGATGGCCAGGGTAGGGGTGGGGCTGGTCCTCTAGGAGGAAATTGCCTCTTTGGGTGAGTCCTGGTATACTCCCCTGCACTGCTCCCAAACAATGTGAGCTGAAAACCTCAAATTACTGGAGAGTGGTGGTGAGCAGCTGCTCATTAAGAAATCCGATCCTGGGCTGGGCTAGCATCCCTCATGATGCTGCCTCCCAAACAGATGTTTTGGAACATTCAGACTATGCCACTGTAGTGGAAGTTGTCAACTTGAGGGGATTAAAAAAAAGCAGGCGAAGAAATAAAAATCTACTGTTAATCTCCATTCATGATGGAAAGAGAGCAATGTCCTGACATAGAGGGTCAAGTGAAGAAGGAAAGATGACATTTCCTGCTCAAAAGGTAACCTGAAGCTGTTCACCAATCGCTCATACCTGTAATCCTAACTATGCAGGAGGTTGAGATCGGAGTATCATGGTTCAAAGGCAGCCCAAGCAGGAAAGTCCATGAAACTCTTTATCTCCAGCAAAAAGCTGGAAGTGGAGCTGTGGCTCAAGTGGTAGAGGGCTAGTTTTGAGCACAAAAAAGAAGCTTGGGAACAGAGCTCAGGCCCTGAGTTCAAGCCCCAGGACTGGTGTGTGCCTGTGCACGTAGACACATACAACCCGAGAAACCGGATTTGCCAACTTGTGTGTGGCTGGCTGCTGTGGCTCAGTGGCCATAATTGGTTTGGTGAGTTCTTTAAGTTTAGTTGTCTCGTAACTAAATTAACCAACTCGGTCTGCCGGGCTTAGCAGCAAAAGCCTTGCTTGTATTTCAGAAAAGTAGGATGTTTCTATAATACTCATGAATTATAAACAAGGCTGTGATAAACTTCCTTATAGCTGTCATTTTGTGTCCTCCCTTAATCTCCCTGAAATGAAAAATTCCCAGAAATGGGCCTTCTAGATCAATTTAAGTTTTGGGCAATGGATTGTTTAAATTTCTTATTAGAAAGACTGTGCCAATTATATTCTTTTTTTTTCTCCCTGGTACCAGGATTTAAACTTGTAGATTTTGTGAATTTTTAAAACAAATTTCTTATTTATTAGAATTTGCTCAGCAAATGATATAAATTGATTTGAAAATGTATTCATCTAGAGAACATTTGCGTTAGTTTCTGTCAGTCTACCTCCCTATTACTGATATGAACGTGAGTGCGTGCACTCAACCATTTGAGTCATACCTCCATTTCTAGCGTTTTGTTGGTTAATTGGAAATAAAAATCTCATGGACTTTCCTGTCCAGAATGGCTTCCCCCCCACCCCGCCCCAGTAACTAGGATTACAGGCATGAACCACCAGCACTCAGCTTAAATCACCCTTCTGGAATGTAATTCAGTCATTTTCAGTAGGTTTACAAGTTTAAGATCAATTGTATCTACATCCTGAACTTGTGGTTCAGCCTACCATAGTCAAAGTGAATTTGTGCTGAGCCACTCATATATAGCCTGGCTTTATGGTTACCAATTTTTGAGTGAGATTAATTTTTTTCTTTCACTTATACCCAAATTGAAAGGCCAGGTTTTCTTGCTGGCTCCTCTGCAGGGCAGGTTTGCTTCTTCTTTTTTTGGAGCCGGGGGTGGGGGCAATCATGGGGCTTGAATTCAGGGTCTGAGCTCTGTTCCTGAGCTTCTTTTGCTCAAGGCTGCACTCTATCATTTGAGACACAGAACCACTTCTGGCTTTTCCTTTTTATGTGGTACTGAGGAATTGAACCCAGGGCTTCATGCATGCTAGGCAAGCACTCTACCACTAAGCCATATTCCCAGCACTGTTTATATTTGATAACCAAGATTCAGTTCCCTGGGGCCCCCAACTTCATGCTGGTTTCCTTTGGAACTCTCTTGAGAGTTGTCTTCCACCTCCTGCATCCCTGTGGCCCTCAGAACAAGTTCAAGGTCATAAATGTTGAGTGGATGCCAGCTTCAGTCTTAGCTTATTTCTGAATTTCTAGTCTTTGTTCATTTTTTGGTCTCCGAAGATTTGATTCTTTACATACCAACTCAGCAATGCACTTGGAAATATTTTGAGAAAGAATTTTCTTCAGCACTTTTAGCTGTTGATTGTGGCAGGATTTTTGAAGGTACTGCAGGACTGTCCATCAGCCTTTTAGTTTTGTTTGTAGTATTTTTTTTTCCTTTTCAGCCATCATTGTTCTCTCCTAAGGAAGAGAGTAGGGTTCAAGTTGAGCCATTCCTATGTTAAGGTAGACATTTGTTCCTGCAGTGGGGCTCCTTGGCTGGCTAGACTGGGACTTTCACTGTTCCCAGGGTCATCCATGCTTCATCCAAGGCCAGCCACACTCCCCAGTGGCTGAGTCTCACGCTTGTTTTAAGTGCTAACAGAGTTAAGTTCATTATCTTCCTTTGTAGCTTGTCAGTTTGGTCATGAGTCTGAGGTCTTTTCTGTCTACCCACAATCACTTTGGGGTGTGTATGTGTGTGTGTGTGCATGCGCTTGTGCGCACGCACACGCTCATACTGGGGCTTGAACTCATGGTGTGGGTACTGTCCCTTAGTTTTTTCATTTAAGGATGATCCTCTACAGCTTGAGCATAAGCTCTGTGTCTTGTGTCTGGCTTTTTTTTTTTGTGTGTGCTTGTCCTGGGCTTGAACTCAGGGTTTGGGTGCTGTCCCTGAGGTTTTTTTGTGTGTGTGTTCAAGGCTAGTGCTTTACAAATTGAGCCATAGCTCCACTTCTGGCTTTTATGGTGGTTAATTGGAAATAAAAGTCTGGCTCTGCTCCAACTGGCTTTGACCTGTGATCTTCAGATCTCAAACTTCTAAGAAGCTAGAATCATAGGCATGAGCTACCAGTTTCAGGCTTATGTTTGGCTTTTTGGTTGTTAATTGGAGATAAGAGATTCAGAGACTTTACTGCCCGGACTGGCTTCCAGCTATAAGCCTCAGATCTCAGCCTTCTGAGTAGCAAGGATTACGGGCATGGGCTACAGTGCTCAGCCATTATCACTTCCTATTTGGTTTTCTTTGAGAATATTGTTTTTTCACTGTGCCCGGTTCACCAAGAGGATAGTGAAAGTGTCCTTAAACTCTTTCATTTCATCCAGCTAGGTTAGCTTGCCTTTGCAGCTCAGACAGGAAGAACAAAGGGAACATGCCTCATGGGTCATTGCTGTCCATAACTTTAGAGTCTGAAATTCAATTTAGGGACTTGGTAGCAGCCCCTGGAGACCCTCTTCCCTGCCCCATTTCTAGTGTAAGCCTTGCCTGTGTGGGGCTGGATCCAGAGAAGCCCAGATGCCTGGGCAACTTCCCTCCCTCTACCGGAAGCCTCTGCTAATGATCACCTCCAGGAAACAGAATAGAAGGCTTAAAAACAGTAATCCTCAAGGGATTTGAGGGAGGAAATGATTCCCTTAGGAAAGTTTGTCTGAGTCTCTTGTGGAAGTTTTTATAATCTCCACCCAATCCACCTCAAATAAGGGAGTTGCTGCTTGTGGTACTACTGATCCAGAACTGCCCTGGCTCAATAAGCCCTCCTTGTGGTGACTGAACTGTGGCCTTTTGGCTTGCCAAATCTGCACTGGATTTCAAAGGTTTAATCCAAAAAGTATAATGATATCTTGGAGATTCTTTATATGAAATGTATATTGAAATGATAATGTGTTCTGCATGTTAAATGAGATAAAACATTAATTTCACGTTTTAATTATTTAAAATAGGTAACTATTAAAGTTACTTGTAGGCAGGCACCAGTGGCTCATGCCTGTAATCCTAGCTACTCAGGAGGTTGAGATCTGAGAATCAATGTTTGAAGCCATCCCAGGCAAGAAAGTCTATGGGACTCTTATCTCCAGTTAACCACCAAAAAGCCGGAAGTGGACCTGTGGTTCAAGTGGTAAAGCACTAGCCTTGAGCAAAAGAAGCTTAGGGACAGTGCTTAGGCCCTGAATTCAAGCCCAAATAATTCTTCAAGCCCAAAATAAATAACATCACCCATATGGGTTTTGTTTGTTTCTTACTATGTTTTGGACAAGCATTAATCTACAAGATAACTTATTCCTTCTGTGTGTGTTGGTGCGTGACATTTACACGCAAGCTATAGTCCGCCTGCCTGCAGTCTCTGTCCACCAGATGGTTTGACGTTGTTACCTCACTCATAAATATAGCAGTGACTTCATGCATCCCCACGGAGGTTTTTTTCACAGTGACCACAGCCCTTCCTCCCTGAAGCAGAAAGAGAATTGTTTCCAATTGGGGATAATAGAAATGGGGCTTTCAAGGAGACCTTTAGTCAGCAATAACCTCAAGTGGCCTGCTGGCGATGGTAAATGGTCTTCTCTGAGGGTTTAACTTTCAGAAACCAGCAAATCTCTCTGATGCAATTTCTTGTCCTTTCAGCTGCTATAAGCAACTATGGGTCAGGAAGGAGCAACACTGAGCCCCACAGTGAAAACATTGCCTTCCGTCAAGCTCTACAGGACCTTTCAACAGTGGCCTTCAGAGGGGGTGTCATGGCCCAGACTTCTAGAACCAGCCATCTTTCTTCAGAATCTCTGGAAGATCTCCCTGCTCTTACTGAAATGGCAAGTGCCGGGGGAAGGAATGAGTCTTCAAGTCAAACAAACTTCACCATTTCACCTGTTGGGCACTCGTCTGAGATCGCCACGGCTCTGACCTCCCAGGACAGTACTTTATGTGAGTGTGCATGGTGATGCTCATTATATTTGTGTATGTTGTGATATATGCACCTCATCTGTGGCAGGCCAGATGAGATTGTGGATTTGTTGAGCATCCTGGTTGGTCTGTGGCATCTCTGTTTCATGGCTGGTCTGAAACAAACCCTCTCTCTCTCTCTGTCAGTTGTAAGGTTTGAACTCAGGGCCTGGGCACTGTCTCTAAGCCTCTCTGTGCTTAAGGCTAGCACTCTATCACTTGAGCCACAGTGCCATTTCTGGCTTTTTTCTGTTTATGTGGTACTGAGGAATTGAACCCAGGGCTTCATGCATGCCAGGCAAGCACTCAAACCTTAACCCTCTTCAGGGGTCTTAACACACCCTCTAATCTCAGAGGAACAAGTCTGACAGGATGTGTGGTTTGGAAAAATGGTCAGGCTGTCTTTGTTTGTGTTATGGGGATCAAAGGGTTGTTCCTCTGTTTGTATAATTTGGTGGTTTCCTTTTTTATATTTTTGTGCCAGTCTTGGGGCTTGAACTTACAGCCTGGGCACTGGCTCTGAGCCTATTTTGTTCAAGGCTAGTGTTCTGCTAATTGAGCTACAGCTCTACTTCCAGTTTTGTTTTTTGGTGGCCAATTGGAGATAAGAGTCTCATGGACTCTCCTGCTCCAGCTGGCTTCAAACTGCTATCCTTAGATCCCAGTCTTCCAAGTAGCTAGGATTAGGGGAGTGAGCCACTGCTGTCCAGTTTGGTTTGCTATTTTTAGCAGATGATTTCAGGAAAGGACTGGGACTCCATGGGTAAGATTTGATTGAAGCACAGAAGACAGAGAAAAGTAATGGTTGCTAGGTATCTACCACATACCAACATATCTAGTCTAGTAATCTTTACAGGAAGCTGGTGAGGTCATGTTATTCTCATAGGAATTTGAGCACTGAAGCTCAAAGGCTATAATGAACCAGTGTGTGAAGGACAGTTAACAGGTTTCCCAGCTAGGTTTGCAGCCTAAGTCTGTGTATCCAGGGGAGGGGGATGCCAGCCTGAGGGAAAGTACTGTGGCCTCTTGGTGGGGCAGCAGGACATCCTGTCTGGGAAAAAGCCTAAGTTGTACACAGAGCAGCAAGTTAGGACAGTTGTGGTGGGGACAATCATGGAGGACTTTTGTAGTTCAAACCTGATATTTTGGGAAGAGTGACTAAAGGGTTCTACCTGATGGAATGATACTGTTGAGGCAAACGTGTTGAGGATTCATCCAGCAGCCCATCTGTAAGATGTGTGATATAGAAGTAACAAGAGGAAGGGAATCTAGAGTGAGCTGAACAACCCACCTAGACAAAGTCATCCAGACACCAGGAGCTAACTAGGTGACAGGGGCTGAAGAGGTAGGTCTTGGTAAAAACTTAACAAAGGAAAGATGATAATTGATGAAGAACTGAAGGCTGACGCCATCAAAGATGACCCCCATGGCTTCATGCGGTAGGGACCAGTCTGACTATAAGTCTGATTGGCAGCACTCAGTGCAGCGAGGGAAATGTATGTGGGTATTCTGTCTTTCATCCATACTGGCTATAGAGCTTAGGAATTCAGCATGACATACTGCTCTGTTCTGGTGATCTTCCAGCTTTTGGAAATTCTGTCTACACTGGATTCCAATAAATTCTGGGCCCAACTTCATGGGATGTGGGTGATGAGTTATGATGATAAGACACTAGTTTCTGATTAGATATAGTCGGATACTAACCTTCAATGTGCACCCCATACTGATTATTTTACTATTACCCCCCCATCCATGCACAGAATGAAAAAATGATAAGACTATGAGGTCAAAAAACTTGTCTTGGTTAGTGGCTTTTCTTTCAAGAGTTTATCTATTTGGTGGTACTAGGTTTAGACTCAGGGTTTTGTACTATCAAGATAGGCATCCTACCACTTGGATCATTCTACCAGTCCTTTTGCTTTAGTTATTTTTCAAATAAGGTCTCCTGTTCATACCAGGGCTGGCTTAGATTGTGATATTATCTGTGCCTTCCACACATGGTTAAGAGCCACATGCTACCAAGCTCAGCTTTCTCATTATTGTTGTTAAGATGGGGACTTGTGAACGGTTTTGCCCAAGGTGGTCTTGTTTTTCTTTTCTTTTCTTTTTTTTTTTTTTTTGTCAGTTGTGCGGCCTGAACTCTGGGCCTGGGCACTGTCCCTCAGCACTTCAGCTCAAGGCTCGCACTCTACCACTTGAGCCACAGCGCCACTTCCGGCTTTTTCTGCTTATATGGGGCTGAGGAATTGAACCGAGGGCCTCATGCATGCAAGGCAAGCCCTGAAATGTAGTTTTTCTTATCTTTGCCTCTTGAGTGTCTAGGATTATAGATGGGTACCACTGCACCTGGCTCAGGAGTTAGTTTTTTCATAGAAGGAATGGTTGATCCTAATTTCTTATCACATCTATATAGTTCATAGAGGTCAGAGCTGACTCCATTTAAAATGATTAATGGGAAGTCTGTTGGGAGAGAGAGAGAGAGAGAGACAGAGTGTCCTGAGGCTTGAACTCAGGGCCTAGACACTGTCCCTAAGCTTTTGTGCTGGCACTCTTATGGCTTGAACCACAGCTCCATTTCTGGCTTTTTGGTGGTTAATTGGAGATAAGTCTCACAGACTTTGCTATCCATGCTGTGATCGAACCAGGATCCTCAGATCTCAGCCTCTTAAGTGGCTGGGATTACAGGTGTGAACCATGGGCACCTGGCCATGCTAGTAGAATTTTAATTACTGCCATCTATTTTCAGCCTCGAAAAGATCAGAAGAAAAAAGTTCTCCTCAAATGGAGAGTGAGATATCCCCAGTCTCCCTGGAGAAGGGGAAGGAGCTCCCAGGAGTGAGAACTGCACACACCCAAGGAGCCTACACATCAGCTTCCATCCAGTCCTCTCTTGCTTCGGAGCCCAGAGAAGGGGCCGTGCTCTCCAGGAGGAGAAATTCCTCAGAACCAGAGCTCGTCTTGCAGCGTTTCTCCAGGACACCAGCTTACTCTCCTTCTTCAGGCCATCCATCATGTGAGTACTTCTGCCCTTAGCTCAACCCCTCCATGGCCATTAGAATATAACCATAGTTATATAGTTATAACTATATATAGCTATAACAACAGGTGTACAGTCAGCTCTAACAGCAGATAAGGCAGGGGGTGGGGGGGAAGGGGGAGGAGAACCATTCCTCTAATGCCAAGCAGCATCTAGAGTACAAGTACAGCTTATGTAAAAAGTTGATTTCAGTACTGAAGATTATCGCCAAATACTTTTATTTTTGGTGGGGGATGGTACTAGGTCTTGAACTCAGTACCTGGGGTGCTCTTCCTTAGCTTTTTCCGCTTAGGTGCTAGAGCCATCTCTACTTCCAGCTTGCTGCAGGTTAATTGGTGATAAGAGTCTCATGGAATTTTCTGCCCAAGCTGGCTCTGAACTGTGGTTCTCAGATATCAGCCTCCTGAGTTAGCTAGGATCACAGGTATGAGCCACAAGGGCCTAGCTCAAGTATGTTTTAACTGTATAAAGAGGAAAAGGATCATCAGCTGCTCTAGGTCATCTATTCAGTGTTTTCTGCTTCCTCCTTCCTGTTCTTCTCCCCTTTCTTCACACCTGCACACAAATATTAAGTGTTATGGAGCTAGTGTATCTTCTTACACAAAGATCATTAGCTGGGGTGCTCCAGTTACATGGTAAGCACCATCTATTTGATATTTGTTTTATTTCTTCATCATTTCAAAAACCATTTCCTTCAGTGGCCAAGAAAACATGAGTACACCTTTTCCTAGGCATCAACTGTGTTTGCAAGGCGCGGTGTAAGCCCCTGTGGCTGTGGACTGCTGTCTTCTCTGCCCTTCCAGCCCTGCTGCTCATCAGTGTCAGCTCAGGAATTGCATTTCCTGCATCCTTTCTTCAGTTCTCTGGTCCTCTGTGCTCTACACCATGACATACCTGGTTATCCGGTGCCTACACCCAGGGCTGTAATACTAATGAGGACATGGGCTGTGCTTGTGACTTCTAGACTCCCCAGCCCCCAGAACAAGGTGCAGTTAATAAGAAATAGGGCTTCCCGTGCTCAAACCCCCTTAGGGGGCGTAACTTGCCATGGTCTAAAGAAAATGCTGGGAACAGCTCCTCTTCGCTTTTCTCAGGTGTTACTCAGTTTTTGTGTCCTCCTTGTGTTCCCTTTCTAGGGCCACAGGGAATGAGGACAAAAAGGGTCAGAAATACTCTTGGGAAACTGAGGTTAGTTTGCTTCAGAAATTTGCTATTTCAAAATTCTTATCTGTCAGAGGTTTTTCAAGGTACTTTGCAAGACTAGGAGTTTGAGTTTATGTCATCAAAGCAAAAACTGAGCCCAGAGGTCCTTTCTGTGCTGTCTATTTAAAGCAGCCAGTTCCCTTTCCATATACTTCGTATACAGTTTCCTGCTGACTGGGTATGGATATAATTTATGATTCATGTTTTTAGGAGATTGCTTTTAAGATTATTCACCAACATTGGCTGGATTGGATAAAAGCTATGATCCGTTGCAGGTCCAGAGTTCTGTGGCTCAGTGATTTACAACCAACTTTACTAAATGGTGAAAAGGAAGCATTTTCTAGGAAGTTCCACTTTGATTCTGGCCAGCCTCATTTAATATTTATAATTTATAATTCAAGCCAGGACTGTGGTATATTTGAAAATCAACACATGTTTCTAATTTTACTGGACCTAATTCTCTATTCACCTGTATTTTCAACAATAAAAAGACAACTTGACCTTCATATTCTGAGATTTTATTCTTCTAAAAACCTTCTATTTCTAATTTTTGGAGAGCTTTATTATAGTGTTTGCATTTCTTGAGTCTTTTACTGATGATTTCTCTTCCTTAGTGAACTAGGTGCTGTGTTATAGTCATCTTCTTTGATTTCCCCTCCTTTGGGGCAGAGGATACATGTACCAGGTCCTGAAGCCAAAGAGCAACCTAAGTTATGCTTTGTTTTTTTATAGCTGATCTAAGAGAGGAACTGATGGCTAGCATCTGTAATCCTAGCTACTTAGGAGCTGAGATTTAAGGATTGTGTTGAAGCCAGCCCAGGCAGTCAAATCTGAGAGATTCTTATCTCTAACTAACCAGCAAAAATGCTAAAGTGAAGGTATGATTCAAGTGGTAGAGTGCCAGCCTTGAGAGAAAAAGCTAAGCAAGAATTTGAGGCCTTGAGTTCAAGCTCCAGTACTGACATGGATGGATGGATGAATGAATGGATGGATAGATGGATGGATGAATGGATGGATGGATGGATGAATGGATGGATAGATGGATGGATAGATGGATGGATGGAGCAAGGTGGTCTATTACCTACCAACCTATCAAACAGAGTTTTATTTACTTCCTACCTACCCTGAATGGAATTCTGGAGATTCTACTATCTCATCCTGGTTACATAAAATGAAAAGCTGCAGCCACTCAGCAAAAATGCTGAGGTTGAGCTGGCAGGAGCTGAGGCTGAGGCAGAGTTTGAGTTGCCTGGCCGGGCTGTCTAGCTCTGTGAAGAAAGAGAAGTTAAGAAATAGGATGGAGGCTTGTGTCTTTTGGCTACTCTATCCTATAGTTAATGTTAGTGCTGTCAGACCAGTGAGTCAGATTAGTGATGCTCCTTGCAAGGGGCAGCACAAAGTGGGGAAGGACAGGCTTCTTTAGCAGAAACATGAAAGGTTCAGACGATCTGAAGGTTTCTCTGTAGTTCTGTCATTTGGTACACCCTACCTCACCCACATACATACACTCAGCCTTTGTAGCTGGGACTTCTGTCCACTTCTACCCAGCTTTGCATAAGCATGAGTGATCACAACATCCAAGGTTGGATACCCAGGAGTTATCTGCTTCTGAAAACAAATCCTATGCCTTAGAGAATTAAAGCAAGCATAGGCCTAGACTCCAGAATCAAACTTTACCAAAGAAATTCTTCTTCTTGGCTGGGTGCCAGTGGCTCACTCATGTAAGTCTAGCTAATCAGGAGGCTGAGATTATAGTTTGAAGCCAGGAAAATCCATGAAACTCATCTCCAGTTAACCACCAGAAAACCGGAAGTGGTGCTCTGGCTCAAAGTGGTAGAGTACTAGCCTTGAACAAAAGAGCTCAGGGACAGTGCCCAGGCCCTGAGTTCAAGCCCTACAACTGACAAAAAAAATACTCTTTTTGCTGCTTTACCTCCTGTGCTACTATATACCTTTCTACACATTCCATGTTTTCTATCATGATCGTGCAACTTTTGATCATTGGGGAAAAAGTAAAGAAATAAGCAAGAAGAAAAATTCTCTTTTGAAGGCGGAAAGAGGTATGTGTATGTTGAATTGTGTGAGTGGCTACAATTGAGCACTAAATTTAGTTCAAGTTTCCTGGAAGCCAGGGCACAAAGGGAAGTTGGGTGGGGCATGAGATTGTTGTCAGATAGAGTAAGCATACAATTTAGTCCATAGGCACATGTTTAGGAGTTACATATTCAAAGTATTTTTATGTAGGAAAGTTGAGGACTATAAATGTTTTCACTTGCTGTTTTGTGGAAATGGTGTTTATGTTCTTTAAGAGGTGATATTCTATATAGAATCTCAATAGGAGCTGAGGGTTTAATAATGGATCTCAACTTATAAAAGTATTTCTGTGGGTAAATGAACTAATGTGGTCCAGGTAAATTGCTTTGTGGTGACCCTCAGTATGTAAAAAGAGAGAACATAAATGGCTCAGGAGATTTATCTTTCTCAAATATCAGCTACTTCAGCTCTACTTCTGGCAAGTTCTGGATATTAGTCAGGTCAAGGTTGAGCATTCTGAAGTGTGCTTGAAGTCTACTGTTTTGTGCTCATTGGAGTGACCCATATTAGACCAGATAAGTGCTATAAAGATCCATCTCCTGTTACAAAGACCAGGAACTTTGTGTTTGCTCCCAATGGTACTGGGATTTGAACTTGGTCTCATGCTTGCTGGGCAAGCACAATACTACTGAGCCATGCCTCTAGCTGGTTTTGACTGGTTATTTACTGGCCATCCCCCCGTGCTTGATTTGCTTATTTTTAGGCTTCCCATCCTGGCTTTATCTCCAGAGGTCTGCAGGCTTGTAGGCTTTTCTGCCTAGGTTGGCCTGACATTGGCATCCTCCCAATCTCAGCCTCCTATATGGCTCTAGATGACAGGTGGCCACTGTACTTAGCTATGGGTTTAAAAGAAGTATCACTCACTCTTCTTCCCAGGCTGGCAAACTGCAATCCTCCATTCTCAAGTTCCTACACTGTCTCTTCATTTTTGAATGGATACTTCCAGGATGGAAGCAAGAAAGGAAGGACAATTATTGAATAATCAATAATGCTAGCCTTACTGACTAGAAATGTCCCCTTAGATTTAGATAGCAGGTGTTTGTTTAGTAACATAAAACTACAGTTTAGTTTGGACCAGATACTTCCTCTCATCTACAGAAATATTCACACACATTTCATTGCTTTGCTGTGGGATTGAGATTAGGGGATAAAGTGCTTAGCACATTGTAATTGGTCAGTTAAAGGTAGTGTTTGGTTTTGTGACAGAGTCTCTCATGTAATTCAGGTTGGCCTAGCTTGGCCTATGTAGTTCAAGTTGCCCTCTAATTCATGATCCTTCTGCCTCAGGCTCCTGAGTGCTGGGATTATGTATGCTCATTGCCATGTCCAGCCATGATAGATTTTATAATGAAATGGTGTTGAGATAAAGAAACAGTGTTCTACAGAGTGCTTAGATCTGGGAAAACACTTTTTCTTTTTTGACTTGGTGACTTTTGTGATCATTATTTCTGTGGCCATTTAGTTGTTAAAACTACCAAAATGAATAGGTCTGGGCTATCCAAGCTGAATCCAATAAAGTCAACACTGTTTTCAATGAGAATATTGAATGAGTAGGAATAAAATTTATTTTTGTGTGTGTGTGCATGCATATGCATGTGTGTACACATCCTACAGGTACTGGGGCTTGAACTCAGGACCTGGATGCTGTCTCTTAGTTTTTCCTTCAAGGCTGGCACTTTATTACTTAAGATGCAGCTTCATGTTTGACTTTTTTGCTGATTAATTGGAGATAAGTCTCATAGACTTTCCTACCTGAGCTAGATTCAAATCTCTATTCTCAGATCTCAGTCTCCTGAGTGGCTAGGATTACAGGCACAAGGCATAGGTGCCTGGGTAAAACTGTTTTAAAACATTGGAGCTAATTAATTGGGGCATATATATTCTTCTTCTCTTTTTTATACTAAAGTGCTTTTTGTTTTTGCTGTTTTCAAGCTAGATGTGGTTTAGATAGGCGCTCTGATTTCTCCACACCTTTCTATTCTTTCATTGTAATTACTGTTCATCCACCCCTTTCTATTCTTTCATTGTATCAGTTTCTTTTTTGGAGTGCTTGCACCTTGATTTTGTGTTCATTAAGGCCCAACAACTAGCATGGCAGGCTATGTTCTAGCAATAGCTGGGTCTGTGGTTTGCTGTAGGAGTAAAGGGAAACCCTTTGTTTCCTGTGTTTTCTCTTTCTATACCTAAAATTTATTTGTGCTTTTGGTCACCACTGCCCTTAAGTGTGGTCTTCAAGGAACTGTTTATGATGATAACTTCCTTTTCCCCCTTTCTGGGCCATAATTAACAGCTTAAAGTCATTATATAGGTGAAGAACACCTTTTACTAATTTTAGCTTATTAAAATCTATTATCTTTTCTTTTTTCTTTTTCTGTTTTTTTTTTGGGTCCGGTAGTGGGGCCTGAACTCTGGGCCTGGGCGCTGTCCCTCAGCTCTTCAGCTCAAGGCTAGCGCTCTACCACTTGAGCCACAGCACCACCTCCGGCTTTTTTCTTTTTTGCTTATGTGGTGCTGAGGAATCGAACCCAGGGCCTCAGGCCTGCAAGGCAAGCACTCTACCACTGAGCCATCTTCCCAGCCCCCTATTATCTTTTCTTGCTCTAAGTTTCTTTCTGCTCCCCAAGCTTTCCTGCACTTTGTTTTTGTTTGGAGTAAAATTTATAATTTTTTTTTGTGGTACTCAGGATTGAACCCAGGACTTTGCATAGCCTAAGTACTGGCAGGTGCTGTACCACTGAGCTACATCATCAGCACCTTAGAACTCAATTTTAATGTACCCTTTTAGAGATCAATTCTTACCCTCTGGAATGTTCTTTGTGGAAGACAGCTATCAGTGAGCCACCTATAACATTTGGAGCAGACCATGCAGTTTAACCCATGGCATAAATTGAATTCTTAAGGCTCTTGACAATTACTCAGTTGTCACTACAGTCCATATACCAGAAAAACTGTTCTGAGCCTGGAGTCCTTCATGTTCTAGGGGGCTCACTGGAGTAGTCTGTAGGTTTGTGAACTGGTTTCTAAAGCTTAATAAAACTAAGTAATTATAATATTAAAGGCTATTTTTGGTAGAATTACATAAAATTTACGGGGGTGGGAGGGTGTTTAAGAATAAGCACCTCCTGCTAGTTAGAAGCTTCATTACTTGATGAGTGCAGTTTGGTCAATAGCCTTTCAAAGTTCAAGGTTGATGGTTGCTAGACATTGAGGAACAGGAAAGAGCCTTTGATGGTGATATTACAGCCCTAAGCCAGGAGTAGCCTGACTGTGTTCTGTAGAACACTAGCTGTGGGTAGGGGGAGACTAGTATCCTGTGGGGGCCCAACTTTTTACTGTCTTACTGGATTTAATCCATAATAGCATTTGAACAAAGAGACTACACAGCTAAAACCAAACAACACTTCTTGAAATGCCTGTTCTGAGTTACCAATAATGTGCAAATCAGTTTCATTTTCTTCTATAAAAATCATGGTAAATAGCTGGGTGGGCACTGGTGGCTCAGGCCTGGAATCCAAACTACTAAGAGGCTGAGATCTGAGGATTGAGGCCAACCAGGGCAAGAGTCCTCAGGACTCTCATCTCCAATTAACCACCAAAAAAACCTTAAGTGGAGCTGTGGCTTAAGTGGTATTTTGAGAAAAAAAGAGCTCAGGGACAGCGCCCATGCTGAGTTCAAACCTCAGCACTAACAAAAAAGAAGTCAAGGTAAATAATGTATTTGTGTTGCTTTTGTCTTGCTTTTTACAGCATTCCTTTCAGCTTGCACATAAAGCTTTTCCATGTGCTTGGTGAGGGGCCCACACAGATCTGAGTTAGAGCTAGTAAGGGGAGACAGAAGGAGTGTGCTCTGCTTGCACATGTATGTGTAAATACATGCACATGCCATCTATTAGGTCTAGTAATTAAACTTATACCAAAATGTAATAAAACACTATATTTCTACCTAGCTACATTCCCTGATATTCTGTTTTCTTCTGTTTCAGCTTCTGAGAGGATGGAGGGATTTAATGATGGCGTCACTGGTGTCCACAGCCCATCAGGCAGCCACAGGAAGAGCACGCATGCTGCTTCCACGCTCACTGATGGTGTCCCAAGGGTGCTCCGGTCTTTGGCTGTCAGCCTGGCACCCGTAAATGAGACAGAGGGCTTCCCTGATCACTTCAGAACTGCTACAACTTCTATCTCACCCACCGTGGAAGAATTGAGAACTAACAGTAAAGTAACTGAGAACCCAGGAGATGAAGAATTCCTTGAGCCATCCACAGAAAATGAATTTGGATTTACATCTTTACATGAGCAAAATGACTCCTTAAGTAAGCATTCCATTTTGATCAGTTAGGACATTTTTGAATAATTTTCTCTGGTGGCTTCTTCAAAGACCATCTGCAATCTCTGAAGTAAAAGTGTGCTCTCTGATGACAGGAACTCCTTTGTCTGGTATATCATATTACTGCATTGGTACTTTCATCCTCATGACAGCATTGAAGTTGAGTTGGGCTAGTATCACCCCTCTTATTGATCTTTTTTGGTGACAAAACTGAGGTGTAGAGCAGGGGTGAGGAACCTCTTCATTCTTGACTGTAGAAAGTTCACAAAACCATTTGCTACTTGATGGAATAGACATGTCTGCTTCTTAAAGGCTGCCTAATTGATAATTTTGTATAGACTGCAAATAATGCTAAAAACATCCAAATGACTCCTGTTAGAAAGTTTCCGTTCCCCTGGAGGAGGATTTAAGTGATGCCTGCCAACCTTGTAGATTGCTCAGCAAAGTGGAGGGTGCTCACAGTTGGTTCCACATTCCATTCATTCTACTGTATCATCTTCATAATGATACTCAGCCTTCCCCCCTTTTCTTTTTTGTTTTTGTAGGTTGTGGGGCTTGAACTCTGGGCTTGGGCTCAAGGCGAGCGCTCTACCGCTAGAGCCACAGTGCAACTTCTGGTTTTCTGGTGGTTAATTGGAGATAAGAGTCTCACGGACTTTCCTGCACAGGCTGGCTTTGAACTGCGATCCTCAGATCTCAGCCTCCTGAGTAGCTAGGATTACAGGCGTGAGCCACCAGTGCCCAGCTCTCAGCCTTTCTTTATGGCCTCAGAGCCTGGGCATGTTCCTTCAATTTCTTTTGTGCAAAGCTGGCACACTAGCACTAAGCCACATCTCCATTTCTGGCTTTTTTGATCATTTATTGTAGATAATAGTTTCATGGACTTTCCTGCCTGGGCCAGCTTCGAACCTAGATCCTTTTGAGGTTCAAAGCCAGCCTGGGCAGGAAAGTTCAATGGACTCTTATCTTCAATAAACCACCAGAAAACCAGAAGTGGCACTGTGGCTCAAGTGGTAGAGCTCTTGCTTTGAGCTGAAAAGCTGGAGACAGTGCCCAGGTTCAGAGTTCAAGCCCCATGACCGACCAAAAATAAAAGAACCTAGATCCTTAAGTCTCAGCCTCCAGAGTAGCTAGGATTACAAGCCACTGGCCCTAGGCCAATAGTTAATTTTTAACTAGTAGGAATTAGAATGGTAATTAGTATTGCAACTGTTTTAGAAAAGTACTTTGACTATCAACTGTACTTAAGCACATTGTATTAATTGGATATCATAACTCCCTTGAACTACTTCTCAGGGGAAAGAGATTGAAACATTCAAGCCTATTACTCTTATTTACATATGCTATTTAAATGTCTCCATTCACCACTTTTATTTTTTAGTATTGTTATCTTACTGATACCCCCAAAATTTTAATTATTTGGAAGATGCTAATGTGTGTCAGGTGATAGAAATAATAATAAACACTAGGTAAGATTCCTTACAAGAGGAATCTTTCCTTAGAGAGGATTCACCTTTGTAAAAAAAATAAATTTATTGTTGTTTTAGAGGTGAAAAACAGTAGGGTTACTTTACATACATCAGGTATTAAGTACATTTCCTTTCGCATAGTGTCATCTGTTCTCATTCCCTGTGATTCCCTCCCTCCCCTCTCCACCCACGAGTTGCATAGTTCATCAGTGACCAGTGCAGCCAGTGTGTTCCACAGCTGCACTTTTTCATCCTTTTTCCTCTGATTCTGTGCCCTCATCCTACCCTCCCACAGATGGGCACGAGATACCAGATACAAGGTAAAGAATACAGAGTCATAAAAAAGAAAAAACAAAAGTCCTTTGTTTCCATATCTTTGGAGTTCATTTCAGTATGTATTTTATTTTATATATATATGAAGAGGTGCTTGGGTATTGTACTTTTGTGATTCTCTTCTAAGGCTATCTTCTTTTGGTCTTACTGTATGTGGGTATCTAGAATTCTGTGCAATTTGTCATATCACACTGCATTTTAAGTCTAACTTGCATCTCAGAGAGTATATGTGCCATCTGTCTCTCTGATCTTGGCTTAGAGAGGATTCACTTCTTAGTCGCTGAGGATCTTTTTCATACCCTGTAATGGCCTTTTCCCCTTCTAATACCTTACAGCCCTTGGAGGACATCAGCTTGCCAGCAGCTCTGAAAGGCTCAGGCCTCAAACGGAGACTGTGTTAAGGTCACTCCCTGCCATTGGAGCTGGAGAAAGCACAGCACACTGGTTCTTGACCAATAGCAAGACATCTGCAAATGTGAGAGAAAGCTCTCCTTCATATCCTGAGCTTGTGAACACTTTAGTTTTGACCCAATTCTCAGACTCTGCTCAACAGACCAAAGGAGGAAACTCAGTGCTGGGTGAGAGAAGTTACTCAGAGTCTTCATTTACATCTTCCTCAGAAAGCCTGGATTCCTCAGCACCACGTGGAGAACGCTCAAGTAAGATTTCATTTCACAGAAGTGTACCCTGGGGAAGTGGGACAGAGGGAATTAACAATGTGTTATGATCTTCTTAGCACTAAATTTTATTTTATTAATGCAAACTAACACACACAATTCCTAGCCGGGTGCTGGTGGGTCACACCTGTAATCCTAGCTGCTTAGAAGACTGAGATCTGAGGATCACAATTTGAAGCCAGCTCAGGCAGGAAAGTCTGAGAGATGCTTATCTCAATTAACCACCAAAAAGCTGTAAGTGGAGCTGTGGCTCAAGTGGTAGAACACTAGCCTTGAGCAAAAAAGCTCAGGGACAGTGTCCAAGTACCAAGTTTATATATATGTATAATATGTATGTATGTATGTATGTATATCTCCTTATGGACCATTAGTTTCATTATTCCCAGGCCATTCTTCTAGACTGTTGACACAGGTCTATCTGTGTGTCCCTTTTATTTTTCTGCTACATATGAGAAGCTTTTAATCCTGCCTCACACACAACCCAGGGATTTCTGTGTCCATGTCTTCCAATTCTTTGTTCCAGATCTTTCAGGAAATTCATCAAAAAGAAATCCATCTTTCTTTTAAAACAGTTTTGAGATACAATTTGAGAGACAAATTTGATACAAATTGTGAGATAATTTTTCCATTTAAAGTGTACAGTGATTTTTTTTAGAATACTCACAAAGTTGTGCAACCATGACTATTGTCTTAATTCCTAAACATCTTTATCACTCCACGGTAGTAAAAACCCATATTCACCAGCACTTGCTTCCTGGTCTACTTTCCTTCTACCCCCTGGAAACCACTTAATTTTCTTTCTATAGATTTACTTATTCTAGACATTTCTTAAAAAATGGAATCACATGCCAGGTGCTGATAGCTCACCACCTGTAATCCTAACTATTCCGGAGGCTGAGATTTGAGGACCATGGTTTGAAGTCAGCCAGGGGCAGGAAAGTCTATGAGACTTTTATTTCTAATTAACTACCAAAAATGTCAGAAGTAGAACTGAGGCTCTATTGGTAGAGTGCTAGCCTTGAAAAAAAAAAAAAAAAGCTCAGAATCAGTGTCTAGGCCCTGAGTTCAAGCCCCAGGACCAACACTTACACAAAAGGAATCATATAATACATTGTCTTTTGTGACTTTCAAGTCTTACAAAGTTCTCAAGATTTACTCATGTTGTAGTATGTGTCTTCATTTCTTTTATAGCCTCATAATACTCAGTAGTTATATACTTTCACCAATTCATAGATGTTTTATGTTGTTCTTTCCTTTTGGCTAGTATTAATAATGTTCCCTTAAGCATTCATGTGTGAATGTTTTATATAGACATGTGTTCCCTTGGAATTTCCAGCTATATGGAGCACCATTTTTAATCTTATGAAACCTACCAAATGGTTTGCTGAAGTGGCTGCGCCATGTTATGCTCCTATTAGAAATGCACAACTGTTCCAGTGTCTCCTATCTTCACAAATACTTGTTACTGTTTATCTTTTTTTTTAATATAGCCACCTTAGTGAGTGAAGTGGTATCTTACTGATTTTGATTTGCATTTCTCAGCTGATTAATGATGTCATATGGTTTACTGCTCTTTTGTATATCTTCTTTGACCATATCTATTCAATTGGCTGTCGTGTTATTATTGAGTATAAGAGTTCTTTGTGTATTCTGAATACTAGTCTCTTATCAGGCCTATAATTCCAGGTATTTTATCCTATTCTGTGGCTTGTCTTTTTAGTTTTTGCATAGTATCACTGAAGTACCTAAGATTTAACTTGTAGTAGTTTTCAATTCTTACTCCTTTATTACTAATTTTATTTCCTCCATATGAGACTCTGTTATTCAAGAAATGGCCATTTGTTACTTCTTATGTAACATGAAAAAAGAACATAATGATAGTAACACACATGCTGGGTGCTGGTGGCTCACACTTGTAATACTAGCTACTCAGGAGGCTGAGATCTGAGGGTTGGGAATCAAAGGCAGCATGGACTGAAAAGTCCCCATGAGACTCTTATCTCCAATTAACCAATCAAAAACCAGAAGTGACACTATGGCTCAAGTGTTAGAGTGCTCACCTTGAGCACAAAGAAGTGCAGGGGCAGTGCCTAGGCCCTGAGTTCAAGCCCCACAACAACCAAAAAAAAAAAAGTAACACTTATAGGTAGAGGACTCTTATACTCTTTTATGTCTGTGCATGGGGAAAAGGTGATTTTAGTGTAGTCAGATTTGGGATTCAGTGGGTTTTTTAAAAGGAAAAAAAAAACATGTAAGAAGTAGGTCTCATTCTTGAAATGATCTCAATATGGTGAACACAATGCTTTATCTCCTTTCCTCTGAACCACACAAAGCTGACACAAACTACAGTCTGGACTTTCGGAGTTTATTCTTTTTTCTAGGTTCAGATTTGGATCCTCTGTCTCAGGTCATGACTCTTGTTAGGCCTACAACTCTGATGATGTTTACTTAAATATTCACAGAGTATGTAAGATCTTTTTGTCCAAAATCCCTTTCTCTTTCTCCAGAGAAATTATGCCCAGAGTCTCTCCTGGTGGATTCCCAATGGTCTCCAAGCTCTTCAGCCTGCGTCAGGTCACCTCTCTGGTTCCTGGCCAGCTGTTGCTCTGGGTCACTGGATGTCCTGTCCTATTCCCATGCTCCTCCTTGATTCTCAATTCAAATCTATCCTGAAATGAATTTACCTACCACTCAATTTTACATTCATTTTCCAAAACATGTCCATGAAAATACTAAGAGGGTCCCTAATTCATTATAGGAAATAAGAACTAGGAAGAGTTCCTTTTCTCAGAGCCAGACTATGAAGAATCTAAGCCAAGAACTGGACTTCACTTTGGTGAAGTCTCTGAAAAGGGTTTATTTGATAATTAAATATAATGGTCTAGGCTAATTTGGTGTCAGGAGTTTGAACCCAGGGTCCTGTGCTCTCCTTTAGCTTTTTTGCTCAAGTCAGGTGCCCTTACAACTTGAGCCATACCTCTACTTCCAACTTTTTGCTCATTAATTGCAGCCAAGAGTCTCAGACTTTTCTGCCTGGGCTGGCTTTGAACTGCAGTCTTCAGATCGCAGACTTCTGAGCAGCTAGGCTTAGAGGCATGAGCCACCTGCCCATGGCAGTCGAGGCTAATTTTTAAGATTTACTTTTAAGTTTCATAGCATTCAGCCTATAACCCCCAAAGGGGGAAAAGGATATTTATTCTTTTGTCACTTCAGTCAATAAAACAAATACATGAAAACACACATACCTTTAGCTTTAACTTCCAAACACACTCTACTTCTTGGTCATGTGCTAACACTATAAGACATGCCCCAAAGAGGTCCCCCAGTGATTTCCCCCAGGGCCTTCCTTATCCCAATATTTAAAGCCCCAGCATCCTTGTCTATCCCCCACCAATTCTTCTCCCCTTCCACCACCAATTTCTCTCCTATAAACTCTTAAAGTATCACCGAGCAGAAATCCAGTCGTGGTGCTGTTTGCTGGACTAGTAAACTGTCCCATCCATTCAGGCTACCTGAACAGGGGCTTCATGCCAAGTTCCTCTGCAGATACAGATTCTGAACCCCCCCTCCCTTTTTTGTGTGCCAGTCTGGGGCTTGAACTCAGAACCTGGGTGCTGCTCCTGAGCTTCTTTTTCACTCATGATTGCTAGTCTACCACTTGCGCCACCAGTCCACTTCCAGCTTTGTGGTGGTGAACTGGTGATGAGGCGCATGGATTTTCTTGCCTGGGTTGGCTTCGAACCCAGATCTGGAGATCTCCGCATGAGTCACGGGGGGGGGGCAGTCTTGGGGCGCTCACGGCTCAGGATGCCAGGCTCCGTGTTAACCCACCACCAACCTCTCGTTTTGCAGCTCAGGGCCACGGTCCTCAGGTAGGAGAAAGAACTTCCGGGTGGCGCCCCCGCGGCGGCGCGCACACCTCAGCGACGCTCACCGGAAGTGGAGAGCAGCGCACGCTGCGGTCTCTCAGCTTCACCGATGCCTCTGCGGACGCGGGAGCGCGCGCAGCGCAGCGCGGGAACGTGACGGACCACTCGGGCCTGCTGTCTCTGCCGCCCGCCGCTGTGCCTGCTCTCGGAGGTGGGTGCCTGGCGACCCAGGAAGAACCCTAAAGCTCCTTAGCCGGGAGAACTTTCTGGAGGTTCCTCCTCAGGAAGAGACCACGGGCTTAACCCTCCCCCACCCCCACCTGAGCCATCTGCTCGGGTCCCCAGGCTTAAAATAAGACCAGTCTGGAAAAGGAGTCTGTCCTGGTAAAACTGGGAGGGTTTTCCTTTTGCCACTTGAGGACAAACAGTTATTTAGGGACTTAAGAGCCTTTTCGAGGGCGTAGCTTGCTTTTATTGGGAAAGGAATATGGACCTTTTTCTTAATTTTAGGACCCTGCTCCCCTCCTCTCTTTTATCACTGCTTGCACTAAGGATCTACTCAGAGCAGACACTGATTGTGCTTAGCCTTCCCAAATTGTCTTTACCCAGAATGCTCACGTTTGGAAATCACCCCTTCCCAGACCAAACATTACTCCTGTTGGTTGGGTACATGGCTGCAAGTCTTGTTTTATAACACATGTGCCAAAGATTTCTTGGTTGCTTGGCCTGACTTTGTTTCTTTTCCATTGTAGTCACTGGACTCAGCTATGGTGGTATAAGTGACACAGATACTGAACAAAGGACTTCCAGTGACCACACAGACCACACTTACGTTTCATCTACTTTCACCAAAGGAGAACGTGCATTACTCTCCATTACAGATAATGGTTCATCCTCAGACATTAGTGAGAGCTCAACTTCTTATATTAAGATCTCAGACTCTCCCTACTTAGACTACACTTCTTCTGCTCAGATGCAGACTGAGAGAAATAACATCTCATCCTATGATGGAGAATATGCTCAGTCCTCCACTGAATCACTGGTTCTGGGTACATCCAACCTTCCACACTACACATCCACCATTAATATGCCAAATACCTTGGTTCTTCTGGATGCCAGGACTGAATCTATTGGTGACTCATCGTCTTCAGGGTCCCCTTTGCCTCTGCCCTCAGTGTCACAATCGCACCAGTTGGACTCATCAACCTTACCATCAACCAGGGCCTTTACAGATCAACTGAAGTCTACCTCGGAGCCCTCTACACCGTTGGCTTCCTCAATACCACCTTTACCAATGGAATCTACCCAAATCCCACTTTCTGTCTCACAAACAGCCTTATCACGTTCATCTTCAATTCCAGTTCTACCTGGAACAAGGGAGACACCTGTGACTTTAGTTCAGACATCAACAGTAGCATCATCCTTAGCAATTTCTCATAGTGGTCAAACAGCAGACCCGAAGAACCAGAGCACCCAAGAGAAAATCATCACAGAAGGAAAGTCACCAAGCCTGATGTCTGTGCCTACAGAGTCTACCAAAGTTGTAACAGTGAGCTCTCCTTCAGGAGTTCCTTTGCCCCCAGCCTTAACAGAATTCTCCACCAACCCAACCCTTCCAGCCATGAGCACCAGTTTAGTCCAGATGTCTTCAGCATTGACAGCCACCACTCTTCAGTCTGGTCACCCTTCTGTGACTAGTCCCAGCACCCTATCAAACAAAGAAACTCTGGTCCCTGACCCTGTAACTGTACATACTACATCTGGAAGACAGCTCTTGCCAACCCATCCTGAAACTCGAGTGCCACAAATCTTAACAGAAGGTGCCGTCACAACAGAAAGAACCCAAGCACATATAGATGATACCACAAGATTGATCCCTGTGACCAGTGTACCTACATCAGCAAAAGAATCAACCACAAAGCTTGACATGGAGGCATACAGCCCACCCTTACATTTCCTCAGAACATCTCCTCAAACCACAGATGTTTCTACAGCTAAAGAGTTGACTGCTAAATCTACAACCTTTACTGCTCAGAGCACCACACAGTCACTAATAGCATTGCCACTTCCAACCTCAGGTAAAGTGCATCTTATAAATACATGTTGATTGCTAAACCCTGCCAAACACTGAGAATTCCATGGGGCTTGGGATTCAAATGAATATGGAGCATTGGCTTGTATTTGAATAGCTTCTGGGGGGTTTTTGTTTGGTTTTGTGGTTGTTAATTTTTTTGTGCTAGTGTTCATGAGGTATATTATTTACTTACATAGGTGATATGCTTTTATAGATGATTTGGGGTAATATTTAAAGTAGAACATTACCATAGTTAGGTTAGCCCATTTTCAGGATTATTCTTTTGGCATGAGGACTTGGCTTTGTCTTCCTTTTCTTTCTCCCGTTGCTTTCTTTATTGCAGATGATGGCTTTATGAAGAGGTATTACATAACTAGAATGTGACACTACCAACTACAATAGGATAAAACAGAGTTCTGGACATTGCTCTTGGGACTGCCAGTCCAAGATGACATTGAAGTCTTTGTGTCATAATGGTTTGTGAACTTATGTAGGACACATTTTTACATTATATAAAGAGAAGAGGACATTGTAGTGCTCAGCTCTGGTCCTTTTCTAAATGATAGATGAAAGCTTAGTTACATTTGGAGGTTTTGGGGTAAAAGTTACGATGTTTTTTTGTGTTTTTTTTTTTTTTGTTGTTGTTGGAGTTGAACTCCATTGGAGTTCATAGGAGTTGAACTCAGGGCATGGGAGCTGTCCCTGAGCTCTTTTGGTTAAGTGCTATACACTTTGAGCCGCAGCACCACTTCTGGTTTTCTGGTGGTTAATTGGAGAAAAGAATCTCATGGACTTTTCTGCCTGGGCTGGCTTTGAACTATGAACCTCAGATCTCACCCTTCTGAGTAGCTAGGATTACAAGCATAAGCCACCAATGTCCAGCTACTATGATTTCAATATAGAAAGTCCAGGAGAAAGGCAAAATATCATAGATACACATATACACAGTACAGTAAATCTTGCCACATGTGTAATTGAAATGGTCATTGATTCAAATAGAACTTTCTGAGTAGCACAAGGGCAATATAATCATCAATTCTGAACTGGATACCCTGTATACTGCATTTGCTTGAACCAGTTCTCATATTCAAGGATCCAACTGTCTAACACTTATATATAGTCACAAACTAAAACCAAACCAATACCTAGTCTTATTGTCATGTCTTCTGAACCTCTTGGGACCCAGTTTTATTTTAGTAGTGTACATTTTCAGGGCAAGTAAACAGAAGTAAGCAAGACTCAAATATTAGCTCAGAGAAATAAATATTTACCTAGAGCTGTTTTTACATTGTGTGATTAACTCTTGTTATTCCTGGTGTGTTTTTAGTTAACAGCTGTGCCAAAAATCCTTGCCTTCACAATGGTGAATGCATTGAAGATCTCACTGATCATGGTTACCGATGTGTGTGCCCACCTTCCTGGCAAGGGGACAACTGTAGTGTGGGTAAGAGAAAAAGAAATGGTACATTGTCTCATTGGATTATTCATTCAGTAAGCTTCTTATCTCTTCCAGTATGTGGAAGAATATACCTTTAAATTAATGCTCTGCTTACTTTAGAGCTACTGCCATGCCCTTACTGAGGCACCAACAGACTTCCTGGTCTGGATCCATTCTTCAGGTTCCTTCTCCCTCTACTTGTCTACACTGGAGGACCTATAGCTCCCTAAGGATACAGGCACATTTGTGCTGTTGGCATTTACTGTGCTGGTGCCTAGCCTGGAATTACCCCCACTTAAAAGTCCTTCTAGTCTTAGTCTGGATGTTATTTGAAACTGCCCATAAGTGCCCAAAGTCTACTACTTTCTCTGTATATCCAAATAATGCCTTGTATTTATAGTTAGTTGTGTATGTGGTTGCCTCTGACTCAGTGTAGTCAATCCCTTGAGGACAGGGGTGATCTCTTACTCATCTTTGGGACTGCACTGCACCTAGTGTCATTAGGTCGTTGGTAAGTACTTACTATACTGGATGTCTGCCACAGACTCAATATGGTCTTGATTTTTCTTCTCTGTAGATGTAGATGAATGCCTCTCAAACCCCTGCCCACCCCTGGCCACGTGCAACAATACTCAGGGATCTTTTGTCTGCAGATGCCCAGTTGGGTACCAGCTGGAAAAAGGAGTATGTAATTTAGGTAAGACAGTCTACCTTAGAAGTTGTTCTGTATCACAATGCATTTAATAAAATTACATGTATTATTTACTTCCTAATCATAAATACTTGTCCAAGAGGTAAAGCTAAGAAATAGAAGAAGAAGACATTTCTTACTATCTCCTATTATTGGAGCTATACAGCTTTGTATTTTTAATGTGCATTATGTTTTTAATTTGAGTGATATATTTTTGTAAACTTTATATCTTAAATGTCCTCCTATATTATAAAAATATATAGATTTTTTTATTTTTTTTAATTTTTTTAATTTAATTTTTTTTGTAAACATACTGTACAGAGGGGTTACAATTACATGGGCAGGATAATGCATACATTTCTTATCAAGCATTGCAGCCTCCTCCTTTGTTTACCCTTCACATCC